GTCATAATTTTTGGTATAGTAATTGTGACTTATTCACACTATATACATTTGGCTTCCGCAATATGGAGAACTTTACAATTCATCGAGAGTAATAGAAGGTTTATACCTTGATTTAGTAGCCCAAGAAAAGGATGGCTTAAACCTATGGTCTATTGGTCCATTCAATCCATTGTTACTAACTGAGCAGAAGAAAGACTCAGATAAACGTCACCAAACCTTGGATTGGCTTGACAAACAAGAACCAGACTCAGTGATATATGTGTCTTTTGGAACATCTACTTCATTGTCGAATGAAGAAATCGAACAACTCGCCATTGGGTTAGAGAAAAGCCTGCAAAAGTTCATTTGGGTTATCAGAGATGCCGACAAAGGAGATGTTTTTGCAGGTGAAGAAAGGAGAGCTCAGATGCCTGAAGGTTATGAAGAGAGAATAAAAGGAAGAGGAATTCTTGTAAGAGATTGGGCACCTCAGTTGGAAATTTTGGCACATCCGTCCACAGGTGGTTTTATGAGTTATTGCGGGTGGAATTCGTGCATGGAAAGTATTTCCATGGGAGTTCCTATAGCAGCCTGGACAATGCATTCTGACCAGCCAAGGAATTCTCAGCTAGTAACTAAGTTTCTGAAAATTGGCCTTACTGTGAGGCATTGGACACGTCAAGATGAATTGGTTACATCAGAAATAGTTGAAAATGCCGTGCGAAATTTGATGGATTCACCTGAGGGAGATGAGATGAGGAAGAGAGCATCAGAACTAAGTGAGGCTGTCAAGCAATCAGTGATAGATGGTGGAGTTAACCGCGTGGAGATGGATTCTTTTATAGCTCACATTACTCGATAACTTTTTCTCTTCTGTATTGAATTGGTTGAACCATGCCATCTAGTTTGCATAAGTGGTAGCATCGATGCGCTATCACTATCTGAGTGGATTTAGTGTCCACCCTCCTGGCCCCCCTCTATGCGCACCGTGATATATGTATGTTGAAGGAGAAGAATTTTTCCTTTATGTGTTCTTTGTATTTGCAAATATAGAAGTGGAGGTCCTCCTTTACTAGCAACTATTTTATTTGACCAGAGATAGAAATATATTGGAAGTTGCCTTTCAAGAACTTTTTGCTAGTACCTGGATGGTACAGTATGTTCTTCGAGGACTTTGGAGCTTATCTTTGATTCTGTAACCTTGTATTTGATATTTTTCTAGACTTCTCATGTTGGTAGGTATAGACAATCTTTTTAAGTGTACTTAACACTTTTGCAAATAGACAAATAAGGAAGAGCTCAAGTACTCTGTGTAGTTTTCTTTTAAAACATGAATAAACTTTCATGAGACTCTGGATTTGAATTAGAAATTTGCTCTGTTGCGACTGGAGCGATAAAGAAGCAAACTGGCCGAGCAACATAGTGAAACAACAAGAGGTCGAGATGGGTCAATCTGTGGAATTGGGAAATTACATGCTGGGGATTTCATAGTGAAGTTTATTGTTATATATGTGATCTCTGAGTCTCTCCATCATTAATCAGAGGTCTCGCTTGTGATCCCTGAAAATGTGGTACCCCTTCAATAGACCTAAGCGGCGCAAATGGGGATCAGTCTGGCCAGTAGGTACCAAATAGGTTCCAGATGGTTAAACCGAAAAAAAATATAATCAAATTCCTGTTTAAAGGCTAAATAATCACAGAAGCTGGCGATATTCCCACATAGAAACAAAAACTTAGCCAGAAAAATATTTATCTACGCCATTCCATATGTATATATATACATCCACTAGCAACAGTTTAAGGGATAAACACGTGTCTCAGAAGATATATACTTCAGGTGAGCAAAATCAAGTTACAACATGACTTCCACCACTTAAGTGGTTTATAAGTCAGAACTATATTATTAGTTGAGTTAATAAAAAAACAACCAAAATAAAAGAGAAAGGAAGAGACAGAGAGAGCCAAAAAAATGGAAGAATTAGTGGTTTGTGATTAGTAAAGAGATTTTGTGGATCTCCTCTCACCAATCGTTATCTTCAATCAAATTCATGTCGTTGAAAAAAGATTGTAAGTACCATTTAGAGGAAAAGGACGAGTTATACAATATACCGTTCCAATGCTTTATGTTCTTTTTTGTGGTAAATTAGAGCATTATCACTTGTTATATATCTTGAGATAATTCGGTAAAACTAAGTTAGTGTCTTAAAGATCAAAAAGCAAATAATTGGTGACAACAGCTAAATGAGGCACAGATGTCTTATCAAAAACTGGAGCAAGAACACACACAATACTCTGAATAATACTTAGTATTTTTTTCCAGGATAGAATTTTCTAAAGATAATGGTACTAAGTACGATAATAATTGTAGACATATGATTTTTGACCCTCCCCAAGATTTTTTATATTTTAGTACGTAAATATTTAATCTAGGCCTATAATTTTGACTCTTTTACTTTATTTTATTAGAAGAAAATGAAAACTACAAAAAATAGTTCCATTAATGTTTTGTAGTCATTTTTAATCTTGAAAAATACCAAAAAAAAGGTTTATTCTAACAGTCAATCTTATTTTAACAGTTATTTTACTTAAGTATGACTAATTAATAAATGAGGTCGTATGTTAATCTCGTTTGCGGGGAAAGAATAAAACTCGGGCTCGAGCAACCCATTTTTAGGACTAATTCTGGACCTAACCCATAATTCCCAATCCCGTAATTCCTAGGCCCATACCCCTAACCTAATCGCTACCCCTATATAATAGTATCTAGCATCTAAAAAAGGGGGAACCTAAAAAATATTGAATCCGCCGTTTCTGAAAATGGGGATACACATTGACGCCTAAGAACAGAGAACACCCCATAGATAGCCGTTTTCATCATCTTCTACACACCTAAACTTCATCTCTCTCCAAAAAACAGAGCAAAAGCTGCGGTAAATCCAGTCGCAAATGACCCTAAAAGACTCGAACTCTTTCCTCCTCTTCCTCTCACCCATCGACATCAACAAACATACAGTAACATATAGTCGAGATTGACGAGAGAGATAGAGGTCAGTTCAGATTCAAATCCATCGCTGTTTGTCGTTTTGGTCATGGTTCTTTTTCGAGTTGAGTCGTTCTTCTTGAGGTTGTCGATTAAGATTTTCGGAAGTTGTTGAGCTTGAGGATCGGCTGCTGCTGTTTGCTGCCGTGCTGCTGATCTGCTCAGTTTCTTCTTCGTTCTTTTTTTTTTTGAGATTTTTCGGCGATTTTGGAGGCCCGTGGATCTCGGCAAAGTTTTCTACATAAGGTTCTTTCTTATTTTTTCTTTAATGTGTAAATTTTTGAAGAAGTTGCCTCATGTACATATTACTTTGGTTCATCAAGTTGAAATTTGTGTTACTTTGATTCCGAACTTCGCATGTCTATATACCATTTTTCTCAAAGTTGAACTCTATTTTAGTCCTCTCGATTTTTGTTTTGGAAGAGTTTAAGAAAACAACTGTGAGAACCTAACTATTTTTTATATTTTTAAAATTTTTTATGTTGTGGTCTGAAGAGTTCTCCAAACATATCTGATTTTATCAACGAAAAAGAAGAAGCTATTTTCACTACTTTTGTGGTCGACAGAAAAGACATTCCGAATATTCGCACTTGTTGATTGGTGCTTTTAATAAAAAAAATGGGAATATATATTCCTTTATGACTGGATTGTTGTATCGGAATTGCAACTTGAGAAAGTTTTTAGATATGGACTGGATTGGTGTTCTTTTAGTGATTTTTCATTCCTTTTTTTTAATACTGTAGTTCTTTATGGGTTTTCTAATCATCAAGCAAATATTTTCCATTTATATTCAGATACTTTACCAAGTTTGGTTTCATTTTGAAACAATCCAATCAATTAAAGTTTGTTGTGTTTGATGGGGAATTAAGAATTGAAGGGGATGGTGAATTGTTTATGAATTAAATTGGATTGAAATTGATCAAACATTGATGGATCTTGGTTGTTAATGTGGTAGCTTTGGTTGTTAATGTCTTTTTTTTAAAAGAAAGAGGCTAAACGTGCTTCTTTAAAATAGGCCCAGTGTTGAACCAATTCAAGATTGCCGACAATTTGATAAGTTGCAGGTATCTCTAGTAATTTAGCAATGCAATTGATCCAATTAATAATTGGGAGAAGCTAAACCGTTTTTTTTTTTTACAATTAATCTCCATAACGCACGACCCTCATTTAATTAAATTTAAATCCTTAGAAATCAAAGTGCGCCATTTAGTTGAATTTTTCATGACCCTTGCAAACTTGAAAGTGCGTAGTTGTTTTAGGCGCGCTATTTAATTACCTTCCTAAACTCGGGTGCGCATTTATGTGACCTAAATCCAAATCTCAACAATGTTGATAAAATATGTCAAGGACCGCGGGTGCATTTATGTGACGAGGTTCAAGACGTGTTTTTAATAACGTTGCAATCTTCCTAAAAAATAAATAAAAGCGGTTTTAATGTTAAAATGCACATGGTTTAACAGTGTATTAAAATCAGATAATAGGCCAAATATAATAGTTGAGCGACCGTGCTAGAACCACGGGACTCGGGAATGCCTAACACCTTCTTCCGGGTTAATAGAATTCCTTACCCGGATTTCTGTGTTCACGGACTGTAGTACAGAGTCAATCTTTTCCTCGGGATTTGAATCGGTGACTTGAGACACCATAAAATTATCCCAAGTGGTGACTCTGAATTTAATAAATAAATAATCCCGTTTCGATTGTCACTTTAAGTTGGAAAAAACTCCCTTATACCCTTCCGGGGTGTAGGAAAAAGGAGGTGTGACAATAATAATAATAATAATAATAATAATAATAATAATAATAATAATAATAATAATAATAATAATAATAATAATACTGCTTCAATGCACAGGCTAGCCAACGTGTAACTAACACCTGTTAAAAATATTTTTGTTTAAAACTCAACTACCTTTTGATTTTACTGAGAGAAGAACAAAGGAAAGTGAATGTGACTGCTTTAAGTAATAGTAGTAGTATGCTTTGCAGTACTTGTCTGATAAGAGATGTTAAGCTTTTTAATAATCTTTTTTAGCCACAGTACATGTTGTGCATGCGCCATTAACCACGTCGGATTCATGCATTAGATCTAATTAAAATCCTCATAACTGCATCTATTTCACCTATATATAAAGGCACTTCGCACTTTCAGAGTAAAGAAGCTGAATATATTCATCAAATAGCAAAATTTAAAAACCTTCTCAATGGCTGAGAACTACCCCACAAAAATCCATGGCCAAAACAGTGTTCAAGATGCACAAGTGGCTGTGATTATGGTACCACTTTCAGCACATGGCCATCATCTCAACCAGTTTCTCCACCTCTCTAGTCTTATTTCCTCATATAATATCCCAGTACACTATGTCGGAACGAGTACGACCAGTCATATTCGCTAGGCTAAGTTTTGTGTCCATGGTTTTGATCCTCTCACAGCTAAAAACCTACAATTTCATGAATTCCCTATACCATCTTTCAAAACTTCCCCTCCAAATCCTAATGCTTCCAATAAATTTCGTAACCAATTAATCCCTTTATTTTATGCAACAATCCATCTCCGCGAACCATTGTGAGTGATTGTTATTTATGGTTCTATGATGACTTGGGTAGTAGAGGATGTGCCAGCAATCCCAAATGCTGAGTGATACCAGTTTAATAGTATCTCAGCTTTTCATACGTTTTCATTGATCTGGGAAATCAAAGGAAAGCCTTTGCTAGCAGGAACAGAACTATACGAGGACATTCCATCACTCTGAAAACTGCGGTACTCCAGAGTTATTGTAATTGTGGAGGAAACAAGAATCCCTTATGGGGAAAATTAGCTCTGGAGAACTTTACAATTCATCCAGAGTAATAGAAGGTTTATACCTTGATTTAGTAGCCAAATAAATTGATGGCTTAAATCTATGGGCAATTGGTCCATTCAATCCATTCTTACTGACTGAGCAGAGCAGAGCAGAGACTCAAATAAACGTCACCAAACCTTGGATTGGCTTGACAAACAAGAACCAGACTCAGTGATATATGTATCTTTTGGATCATCTATTCGTTGGCCGAATGAAGAAATCGAACAAC